AGTCTACATCCATCTCTAGTCAATGGTCACTGGGGAGTCACAGGAAGGAGTCTTAATCCATATGGGGCCCTGCAAAAGCACTGTAGGTGTTCACCATCATCCATAGCTTTCTGAAAACTGGGTGCTCACAATTTAAACTCTGATACACTGCCTCCTCCAATCTGAGTCCTACAGCTGTAAGCAACTATTAATCTGGCTACTGGATTTCCTATAAAGATAATCATAGAAAAACAGCTCAGTGGGCCTTCTTCCCTCAATTCCTGAAACCGTATTTCCCATCAGCGCAGCTGGCTTTCTTGCTCCCACCCCATTAGTTCTTGGCGGCATGCCCCTCCCTGACAGTGCTGAGCGTCCATCAGTGCCTTTATGTCCAGCGCTTCTGCGCACTCCTTCCACCGTCTTTTGATGTGTCCTGCATGGTTCCACATTTTACCCAGAGCATTCTTCAATACTGCAACTCAAGGCTTAAATTGCTTCTTCAGTTCTTCTTGTTTGAGAAATACTGAGCCTGGTTTCTTCCTTTTGCTTTTCTAACTCCAAGTCTTTGCAGACCTCATTGGAGTGCTTTACTCTGTCCTCTCAAGCTGCCTTTGGAAATTTCTGTTCAGCTCTTTCATTTCAAATTCTCTTCCATTCATGCTAGCTACTCTATAGTCAAAAGTTTCAGAGTCTTTTCTGTCTTTCAAACTGCTTCTTGCTTTCTTCATGCATGCTGTCTTTCACGTCATCACACCTTTGGTCTTCGGTCATGAGCATTCAGTGTGTCGAACATACTCTTGAGATAATCCCTACATCTGGCTGTCTATTGGCATGGTCATGCTTTCACTGTTGTGAATTTGTTTGAATATTCTTCTGCTTCTGTTTCAGGATAGACCTGAAATGTTCCTTTTGATAATGACTATGGCACTATCTCTCTTCAATTTGTCATATCTGGCATACTAGACTAAATAAGAATGACCAATATTGGTCTATTTAAAATCATTAATGCTTTGGATCTCAATTTTTATGTGTTTTGTTTCATTTTTGATGGCTTCTACTTTTCCTAGATTCGTACTTCATACGTCCCATGTACTGATTATGAGTAGGTATGTGCGCTGGCTCTTCTCATTCTGAGTCATGACACATCAACACCTGAAGGAGTCCCAAGAGCTTTCCTTCCTTCACACCAGGAAGAGGGCTGGATTTTGAAGAGGCTGCTTTTCCCCAGACGTATTTTGAATGCTTCCCAACCTGAGGGGCTCACATTCTGGAACGACATCACATAATATTCCACTGCTAGTTATACAATTTTCATTTGGTCAATGGCTTTAGAAGTAGATAACCGACCCTTCTTCTTAGACTGCCTACATCTGGAAGCTCTCCTGGAGGCTGGCCACCAGAGTGGATCTGCTGATGGTGGAAATCCTTCTGCCAATGCTTCCAGCATCACAGCAACACGTAAAGTGCCACAGTATGGGGCAGATGGAAAGACAGGTTGTGATGATGAAAGTTCTTTTTTCCCCCTAAATTCTGTGTTGTGCATATTACATGCTCAAATTTCACACACTGTGTAATAAGCACAGCATAGGATTTAGAAAATGGAAAGTTTACCAAGGGTCTGAATGCAACCCTCAGAGAAAGAACAAAGTGTAACTAGCTACTGTCCATGCTGACCAGCTGAGAGGTCTTAACTTCGTTTTAAACCATCAATCTTGAACCAGGGAGGCACACCGCCTTTTCGCTTATCAGTTTCCCTATGTATAAAATGAACAAAAGATAGTTTTTATTTGACACAGTCATGACAGGAGGTAGAATACCAAGGAATTCATGAACAGCAGATTTAACATTCATTAAAAATGGATAAGAACCACATTCAGCAAGAACAAAAATTAGTAGGATCAGAAAAACAGTAAGAACTGGTGTTAGAAAAAAAAAGAGATGGTTACACTCTACACGGAGTCCTGAGTGGTACAAATTGCTAATGTGCTTGGTGGCAAGCCAGAAGATTGGAGATTTGAGTTCCCTTAGAGGCGTCTTGGAAGAAAGGCCTGGTGGGTTATTCCCGAAAAACCAGCATTGAAAGCCCTATGGAGCACAGTTCTTCTCTGACACACATGGGTAGCCATGAGTCGGAATTAACTTGTTTTGGTATACTTTACAAAATATAAACTATGGAAGGATTCTTGACAAGCTTGGCCCAAAGCATCATGCCATGAACATATCTCACACTTAATGTCATCAGACTCACAGTGACCCTACAGGACAGGGTAGAACTGCCCCTGTGGGTTTCTAAGACTGCAACTCTGTAGGTGAGAAGAAACCCTTATCCTCTTTCTTCTGCAGGATGGCTAGTGGTTCTGAATTGCTAACCTTGTGGTTAGCAGCCCAACATAGTAGACCTTCAATAAATACTTGGGTGAAAGAAACCAAGCAATCCTGATGTGCATTCAGTTACGTCAGCATGACTCAGAAAGCATTGCCTTCTCCTCCTGCTTAGAATCACCAGTGACTCACAGGAGCCACGGTTTCCCCAGGTGAACAAATGTCTCCCTCAAGGGATCACATAGCCTCCTCTACAATTAGGGAAATCTATTCCACGTTTTCACGTCTTCTTAAAGACATAGTTCATAATTGTATAATGCTGTTATATTCTTTATACACATCTTTTTATCAAGTCGAAGGGGTTATAAATTCATTTCTAAACAATATTTTGGTATAAGAAATTCATAAGACTTGAAGGACATCATTCTATTCATCCGCTAAGTCTTCCCTGGAGAAGTCTTATCATACGCTTTTCAGCTACATACTCCATTAGTATATATAGTCTTCTTAGTATGCAAGTAGGTATGAGCTGGAGATGAAAAACATATGAATTGTATCAACAACTTAATATTCTCTTTAGAATATTGGAAATCTGCATAGGGCAGTAAAGACCCTAGGAATCCCACACTATTCCCACAATTGCTTATCAGAAACAAAGCTCATTCTATGTAACAAAAAGAACAGTTAATGAGGTTTATGTATCAGCAGAGCAAATAATTTTACAAGCCTGTGTTCTTAAGGGTTCAGAATTACAGATTTAGCTGTGGGAGCAGAGAGTCTTCGGGGCAAGACACCACAGATAACCTCACCCACATGTATTTCTCACACAATACTTTCCTGTATGTAAACAGAAAACAGAAAGGAGTATATTACTTTTGTCCTTAGTATTAAATAGCTGGCTTTTCTTCAGGGCACTCTTACATTTCTGCACAATACACAGCCTTCAGCACCCCAAGGAACATAAACAAAGGATATCAGGCAAGTTCACCTACTCCCACTTCACAGAACAATGCAGGTTGTTAACTAAGCAGTTCCCAGGGCAGATTTATGATTTGTGGAGCCTAGAGTTAAGTACTCAGGTTGGGTCCTAGGAATCTGGGGTCAGAAGCACGTGGGGCTTGCTCAGTCCCACGGGCTTTTAGAAACATGACAATGTGACCTAAGTTTGTGCTTGCATGGACTCTGGAGACTAGTTAGGCATTTAGAGAAATTAAATCACATTAAGGGCTCAAAACGCCTTATTGTTCATGCTCCAAGATTTAACCTTTTTTCCCTTACTTGCTGCTATGCTTTTCCTCCCGTGAGTACATGCCTGCTGATGTGAACACGTTTGTGCATATATGCAACATGTCTACTTATAAACCCATCCTGATAGAGCAGCAAAGAATATAGCTAGGTCAACTTTACCATTTGAAAATATTTCCCATTTTCTAATCAGAGTCATACCTCCGATCGTTGTCCAGTGCGCTTAGATCCCGGTTTGTTTGAACACAACTGAAATTTTAATACATACTTATTTTATTCTAAAACTTTGTATGAGTTTTAGATAGCACTCCAAATATTAAGAGTTTATAAGCAATTAAAACACTAATGCAAACAAACACATGGCAAATCTTCTTTCCACCCATCTTTTTAGGAAACAGTTTAGCCAAATTTGCGGGCGCGCACACCCACACACACCCATAGGGTCCCAACTCAAAAAAAAACCCAAAAAAACTGACTGCCATTGAAAAGATGCTGACTCGGTAGGGCCGGGCAAAACTGCGAGCTTCTGACACGGTAACTCTTTATGAGAGCACACAGCCCCATGTTTTTCACAGGGAGCAACACAGGGTGGTTTTGAACTGGCGACCTTGCAGTGAGCAGGCCAGTGGGTAAGCACTACGTCACCAGGATCACATGACGCAATCAATATGTAATAAAACTGGGGGGAATAGTTTCTCCTCCTTTGTCTGGCTCAAGTGTAAAAATAAAGTAGGTTACTGTTTCCAATTGTATTATTATAAACAGTATTGAGCTACTGAAAGTACTAAATAATTACAGTTCGTTATAATTTTTTCACTCTTTAGTATTAGAATTTAGCCCAAAGTGACTAAAATTAGTTAGGTAGTCATATAGAGAGAAGCAATATTTGCGTAAGCATTTAACTCATCTGGAAATAACTGAATGAATTCAATGGGATGAGTCATTAGTATAATATAAATAAGGTCACTGAAGGCCTGAGGTCACATGCCATAGCTCCTGTGTTATTCCAACTGACTTTCGTGTGGAAGTGGCTAGCCTGTGCCCGACAGACAATTAGTAAAGCTCTCCGTTGTTCTGGAGAAAGTTGTTCCACCAAGTTCCCAATGAGGTTCAGTGCTTCAAACTGTCTTAGATAGACTTGTGAATAATTTGTAAAATTAAAAAGGGGGAGGTATACCGAAAAAAATTCTTAAGAAGGAAAACCAAAACTGTAGGGACAATGTAACTACAAAATCAACAGGCCTTTTAAATGTTTTAATAGTAACGGTGAAGCCGAACATTTCTGGGCTACATGACAACAGCCTACGATGCTGGCACAAACAGAGAAGAACATAAATGCCTATTCCATTGACTACTGACCAGGGAGGAAATGCCTGCCGAACACCGACCAGTGGCAAACCACGGGAAAAGTAGAGATTAGTGAGAATAAAACAAGACAAAGAACCATCCCTTACCCATTACTTCCCACAGAATGGACTTTTGACATATCAGCAAACTCTTCTTTTCTCTTGCTGCTGCTGGTGTACTGCTCGCTGTACAGCTTGAGGGACATCTGTTCAACGGCATCTCTCTGCGCTTCCAGGTAGCACAGGCGCACCTCAGCCTGGAGAGAGGCACAAAGGGAAAGCACGGCTTGAATCCAGACGGAACACATTCCGAGAGGTGGAACCACTCAAAGAATGGGAATTGTTCACCTCGTTATCCCCTTCCTTGTGGGGTTCGATTTAATTGGATCTGCGGGGAATAATACAGAATAATATCTTACGTCTGAATCTTACAAGCCCCTCCTTAAAATATGACCTGAACAAATGAACTCTCAGAAGACTCAGTCAACATCTCAAAATGTTCCTGAGATCACACTCCTATGGTATTATGAGACCCTACATTAAATAGCCTGTGAAATTCCTGAATAATATCATTCTTCATCTTGTCACACATGGAACTTTTATGTTTTCTGAAGATCCCCTTCCAACCCAAGCATTTTAATTGGACACATACTAAAATGTTTTTCTATTCCCTTCCCCGAGCTGAGAAGGCTAAGTCCTAGCACCTCTTCAATAATGATAACGGTCTTCCTTGATTACCTTCTGTTCTTTGTATTACTTTCTTTATGGTTTACAAATAGAGGGAATAGTGATTTTGTTTCCATGCATGTTTGAATTGTTAATTCTCTCAGAGCTACTTGAGGCTCACTGCAGTAAAAAGAGGGAGTAAATTCACCATGCTGTTTTCTATCAAACCAAGGCCCAAAGAATGCTGAATGTGTATTTGGCATGGACAAATATCGAGTGGATGCTTTATTTATTGCAGCTGTCGGAACCCCTGTGGCTTTAGAGTTCTCTGGAACACCAGACGAGATTGGGAAGGAAGTCTCAGTGACAGACCTGCCCCTGGCAAAGGAGAAGGGAGCCAGACTGAGGGGTGTGTGCCCTGAACCTGTGGAGCACGCACTGTCTTTTAGCATATCTCACTAAGTTTAAGCACACCGGTGAACATTTCTATTAAACTCTAAAGACTCTATTTCTTTATCATGTAAATCAACAGTCCTTTTAGAAAAGTAGTTCTGGGCCGGCTGTTGAGTAGCCACCACAGTTCAACAACATGTAAAACCTGAGCCAACAGAACATTTCCACACTTTGGGTCCAGGGCCAAAGAAGGCCTTCCTTTTGCCTGGTCTCTAGTTTTATAGACTTGACCATGGAGGAAAAAGAGAGACTACAACACGGAGGCAGTTGTTAAAAGGGCAAACTAGAAAGGCAAAGGGAAGTGAGTAGCTTCTCAAAAGTTGAGTCACATATCGTTTTAGAGTTCTTGTTACTGCTCTTCACAAACGGCTGGCTGTGAACTGCTAAGGAAGAACGTAAAGCACCAGTGTTGAAAGTACTATATTCTTGTTCTCAAAGTTTTACACATGAAGGCCAAATGACAAACTTCCTGTGAACCCTTTCCCCCCTCAAACTGGTAAGTTTAAATAAGAATAGATTCCTTTGGATTAAGAATTGTGTTAAATACTGTAAGCAAATGATAATGCCACAGGGGTATATTCAGTTTGTTGGTGGGAGCATGTCAGATCTAGTGTTATTTAGCATATTAACTAATTATCTGAAAGAAGGGGGAACCTATCACAAGGATCTCCATATAACCCCCTACCCATAGGACAGACAACAGAAAAGTGGGTGAGGGAAGACATCAGACAGTGTAAGACATGATGAAATAATAATAATAATTTATAAATTATCGAGGGTTCGTGAGGGAGGGGGATGGAGAGGGAGGAAAAATGAGGAGCTGATACCAAGGGCTCAAGAAGAAAGAAAATGTTTTGAGAATGATGATGGGAACAAATGTACAAATGTGCTTGACACAATGGATGGATATATGGATTGTGATAAGAGTTGTACGAACCCCCAATAAAATGATATAAAAATTAAAAATAAAAAGGCATGTGTAGTCCCAACCAAAATGGTTTGCAAACATCATGGAACTTGGGCAACTAATACTCATGGTTTTATGAACACTAATATTTTTTAGATATTAAACCTGAATATTGAGGGCCACTGACTAGAAGAAATAATACAATGAGGAGATATAGAACGATAGTCAAAGAACATAAAAACAAAACTCTCATATGCTCCTACCTTCCTCTCATCAAGAATCAGGTGCAATGGGGAATAATGAGAAGACTTCCTGATTAAACACTGCATTTGAAACCCCACTAAGGTTTCTATGTCAATGGCACCAAGGGGCTGGTCTGGTCTCGAGGTGTTCCCTCAGCTTGTAATCATTCTAGGGTGCACCACTGCAGAGCCTCAGGAATCGTCTCAAAAGGTGTGTCCCTGGCCCTACACAGGATCATAAAGAAGGAAGACGACTTCATGCAGACCCATCACCACCATGGAGAGATAAGGTGAGTCCACCTGTTTGTTTCATCTGTCGTTTCTGCGTACTAAAGAAAAACACCTCTTACACAGAAAGGAAGTCAAAGAACGATGCTGAGAGCAACTCGGAGGATAATTAGTCATCGTAAGAAAATGATAGAAATGTTATTATCTAAGACTTTTATTGGGTATCATCTCCCGGGCCTTTGATAGAGGAAACTACTGTGTGTTCATGAGGAGAGGAAGTGGATGGCCCAGGCGTCTCCAATCCATCTCTGTTTGATCTGGGCTTTCGGTGACTCGTTACTAAAGTTGATGATAAAAATAGAACGCTAGTAGCTCCTTCCACTAAGGTTGAATGGATTTGCCGATCTAAATCTCTCTGCAAGCTGTCTCAACAGTTTTCATATTATATTTTAGTCAAAAGATACATTTTAAGAAGAGGGATTTGAAGAAAATGCAGCCCTTTAGAAACAGTAGCCTTTACTAGCTGGCTAAAACCATTCTACTAGCATCTACGGTCATGGCACACACCGAAAGATCGGCCATTACAACCTACTCAGAGACGTGGGGGAAGGGAGACCTGGTGAGCGGCTCCCATCAAGATGACAATTGAGAAAGCCTAGCCAACGTTTTACTCTCTAAAAAATGGCACTGCCGGGAGTCAGAATTGACGAGAGCAACAGGCTTGTTGATGTTTTGTTTTGTTTTGCTTTTAGTATAGTAAAGGGTATTTTATTTTTTTTAAATGATTATTTTATCAATGGAAAAGTACCAACTTGTTTAAATGTTACAGAAACGCAATCAACAGGATTTGGCAACTTCCTTGCTAAGGGACAGAAGAGGAATAAGACTGGTGACAGCCACCTCTGCACACCTGGATTGCTGACGGACCACAGCTCCATGGGGGAGAAAGGAAGATGAGAGCACACTGTGGGGGAGGGGCAAGTCAGCTGGATGTGATTCCTTTAGTTTGAGGTACCAGTGGGACACTCAGAATGAGGTGCTCAGCGAGCAGATGGAAAGATTGGGGCTGACCGACAAACCTAGAGGAAATATTTGACATTTTGAGATGTAAGGAGAATGTCCTGGGGAAAAGCGTGTGATAGTCGGAAAGAGAAGAATCAATATTCTCTCTATTCTAGATCTACATTCTTTTTGCGGACCCAAAGCAATGGTTTCTCCGTCGTTCTCTTTCCTCCTTTTCCACCATCCCTAAATTTATTTTATATATTCACTTATCTCTTGAAACCATAGCTGGTATCACTGGTGTATTTCTCAGAGCTTCATCCTGGTCTCTTTTGCGTGACCTATACCCTTTTCTACACGATGGATAACTAGCAATCCCCTCCCCTGAGCTCCACACTTGCATATCTAATTGACCAATCAATCACCTACGTGGATGTACTTTTGGCATAACTGTTCAAAACAGAACTCTTTATTCCCATCTTCACCACCTACTCTGATCCTTTCTGTACTTAAACTTCACCTTTTAAATCTATTACATTTAAACTTTTACTTTTAAATTGAATACATCACCTATGTTTCTGATTTGAGAATCAGAAACCTGAGAGTCATTCTTGCATTCCATCCCCCCCTTTCATTTCTCACACACAAGTAAATTCTGTTGATTCCTGGTCCAAAACATCTCCCAGTCTGACTAGATGTTTCCAACATGCACTACCTCCAGCCTGGCCTAAGCCCCCATCATCTCTCACCTGCAGGGTAGTAACTGTCTCCTAAGGTATTTCTTCTCAACTCTCCTTGCTCTTCCAACCTCCTCTTATCAAATGTAAGCTCGTTTCCTACTAGGCAGACCCAAAAGTCAAACTCTTCCAAGATTCCTCCAACATTCAATTCCTGCCTACCTCAGACATAGTTTCTTAGCGTTTCCCTCTAAGGAGCTATACCATTCATTGACAGACTCGCCTTCTTGTAGTTCTCTAAACACTCCAGACTCTATCCTGCCTCAGGACCTTTGCAAATATTGTTCCTATTCTCTGGTAAATTCTCTAGCTAATTCTTTCATATCTTTCAGCTCTGAGTTGACATTTACCTCTCAGGGAGATTGTCCCTATGAAAAGACAGTTTCCCCTCAAAATCCTGTTTATTTCATTTATAGTATATATTATAACTTGAAATCATTATATTTGCCAGTTTACTCTTTTTAATGTTTTTCATCTCTCTGTGCAGACACCAAGCTCAAGCAGGGAGACTATCTCTCTATTTTGTGATTTCCTATTCCCAGCAACTGAGTGGTACCTGGAGCATGATAGGAACCAAGTAAATAATTGTTGGATGAATACAGTGTACATTGATGCATCCATTTATTAACAATACTTTCAGTGAGCCTTCCTCATGTGCCAGGTGCTGTGTGTACAAAGAAGAAGAAAACACAGTCCCTTGCCCAAAAGGGAGTACGGCTTGATGTAGAAGCGAGCCAAGTTGACAGTTAACAGCAATGCATGTACCATGCACAATGCCTGTGTGGGAGGATGGAGAACGCGAGCAGTAGATGTGTGGCAGAGGTGGTATTTGAAGCAAGCTGCAGTATGGGTAAGATTCTGTCAAGTGAAGAAGTCAGTGGAGTAGTGTAAGTGTTCAGAAGCCCCAAGTCATGGAAGGACTTCACATGTTCAGGGAATGATGGCTGAAGCTCTGGCATTTGGACAAAGAAGAGGCAAAGTGGGAGGGGATGCACGGTGAAGGATGTTAAGGAATCTGGATC